ACGCTTAAGATGTATTTATGAAAGCCATGTCTCGGCAGCCAGGACGCATTTGTCAGCTGAGACGTGGGAAGGGAGGGGGGGGAAGGGAAGGGGAGGGGTGAGGGGAGAGGAAGAGGAGTCCCTTGCTGACGCTGTGTCGTCGTCCTCCTCTCCCTCGCCTCTCCCCTCCCCTCTCCTCTTCCCTCTTCCCCTCCCCCTCGCTTCTAAAAGTCCTTGCTTCCGGCCTGTTGTCATGCCCTACGCGGGAGAGGAAATTGTGAAGGGGGAGACAAAAATGCTGGAAATGGGGAAGATAATTTCATTGTGCGACGAGCGAATAGGTTTTAGGTTACGGCATCGTCGGGCGAGTACTGGTGCTCCGTGTGGTGTTTGTTATCTGAGAAGGTCAGAAAATACTGTTAAGATGCGGATTATCATTTTTAACGCCTTATAGTCACCATTATACAGTGCAGATTTACTGAAAAAGGTAGACATGCATGTAAACAATACAAAAAATACTGCCTAGTCTAGACTGTTGAGTGAGACGATAGCAAGAAAGGCGAAAGTCTACGGGAAGAGACCTCCCGCATTCGGTTCCCAAAAGTTTCCATGTCGCACTATTGGTACGTATGCCGTATTTTACCTTGGCACGATTTGTACCGTCAGGGGGTTATGATGACAGTTATATTAATGCTTTATCCGAATGATTATAATAAAAATAAAGCGTAAATTGTTGTACATTTTAGATTAATTCTTTCCTATTTATCACCACCTATTTTTTCTAAAGAAATATGGTAAAATTGATTAAAGAAATAAATATAAATTATTGACATTACTATATAATTCACAAACAGATTTTTCAGTCGCTCCGTTTTCATGTTTAATAAAAGTTACGAAGAAGGGAAAAACAAAACTAAAATTACAAGACGAAGGAGACGAGAGATAAATCCAAAAGTGGAAATCTCAACATACCAAAATGACGGTAAATGTTTCAACTATTTCTTCTCCCAAATTTTCCACTAAAGGTATTTCCAAGCAGCTAATTTTCAGGCTTAACGCAAAACCTCTTTTCATTTCCGACCTAAATGCTAAAAATCACCCGAAAAAAATAATTAAACGGTTTCATGTTATAAGTGGATGTTGCGGTTAACCTAATAGCCTAATTAAGTTCTTTGCGTTACCGAAAACCTAATTGGCAAGAAAGAAAAGATAAAAAGAGAACGAAAATTTCCTTCCTGTCGAAGTTAGATGTTCATGAAGTTGGGAAATAGAGTGAAGTTCGGAGGTCATGTACACTCATGTCAGCTGATCCCATAGGATTAGCGAAGGCCGTGTCTCGGAATTCCGTTTCTCTCCCGCTCCTCTTTGCGTCTCTGTGTCTGCCTGTCTGTCTGGCTATCTCTCTGTGTCTCTGTATGTCCGTTTCTTTCTGACTCTCTGTGGCTCTTGGAACTTTTGTCTCTCTATATCTGTCTATCTCTGTCTCTTGTCCGTCTCTCTCTCTCTCTCTCTCTCTCTCTCTCTCTCTCTCTCTCTCTCTCTCTCTCTCTCTCTCTCTCTCTCTCTCTCTCTCTCTCTCTCTCTCTCTCTCTCTCTCTCTCTCTCTCTCTCTCTCAATTTGCCTCCCTCTCCCTTTCTCTTAGTCATCTAATTTCTTCCTCTTTCCCATCTTTCTCTGTCTCATGAAAAGTGCAAACTAGAATCATGCACATTATGTTGTATGATTTTGTTCTTTTGCTCATATGATCACAGTCTCTCCCTTGGGTCGAAATGCAACTTCACTCTCCCTTGCCTTTTGCAATTGCTCGAAACCCTCAGCAGGAAGGATGTTCCGACTGTGGTTAGTGACCACTCTCTAATTTTTTTCCTACTTGTTCAGAATGTGTTCTCTGTCCCTGTCCCGCAGCGACATCTTTCCCACATGTGTTCAGAGGTGTGAACAATCTCATAAGGTACAGCTTCCTTTGGGCTGGAAGAGGCTGAAAATGATTGCCGTGGGAAGTTCTGCGGCTTGGGTGCGGGGTGGTTCTGATTCGTCGTCGTCTGGTCGTCCTGTTTAGAGAGGCGGAGGTCGTTGCCACGTTTTTTTAGATGTTAATTTGGATTTTTTTTTTTTTTTTTTTTGTGCGTCGTTCGGTGGTTTTCGGTAGCGTGTTATTTTGTATGTTGATTGGGGGGGGGTGAAGAAGTTCTATCATGTCTTCATCTAATGCTTTCTCTTTTCTTGTGGTCTTGGATCAATCTCTTTCCTTCTCTCTCTCTCTTCTCTCCTCTCTCTCTCTCTCTCTCTCTCTCTCTCTCTCTCTCTCTCTCTCTCTCTCTCTCTCTCTCTCTCTCTCTCTCTCTCTCTCTCTCTCCCTCTCCCTCTCTCTCCTCTCTCTCCCTCTCCCTCTCCTCTCTCTCTCTCTCTCTCTCTCTCTCTCTCTCTCTCTCTCTCTCTCTCTCTCTCTCTCTCTCTCTCTCTCTCTCTCTCTCTCTCTCTCTCTCATACTCTTATTCTCCCACTCCCTCACTCTTTCCTGGTCCATTCTCTTCTCTTGTTCTTTATCTCCAAGTATTTCTTCTCCTTTCTCTCCCCACCATCTTCGTTCTCCGCATTAAAGTTACAAACGCGTCTTTACCGTCTTCCAAGCCAGGACCTTTATTGAATAAGAAGTATGATACAAAGCCAACACAAAGGAAGCGATTACAGCCCGTGCAGAAATAAATAACGGATTAATAACCCATGTTTTTATAAGTTGCGCAATAACTTAAGATCCATTTTCTCACAAAAGGAAGGAGTTAACAACGGGTTCTACAAGGTCTTGGCTTCCATTACGTTCCTTTTACTGCCTCCTTGCCACTGCACAGCATAACAGCTTTACTTTTGTGTCCCCCTCAAATGCGTATCATTACACCAATTACCGATATATGACCAATTTGTGAAACAACTTGGAGGGTTGATCGCTGTCGGTTTTTAAAAGCAATCTGTATTAATGACTGTAAATGTTTGCTATTTGTTTTGGTGTGCGTGCAGTTTATTCATTTGTTTGGAGGTTAAAGGCTGGCTTTGATGTGTGGAGGGAAATGATCTTTATTAGAAGGATACATGGAGTTCTTATTGTTTTGATTTTTTTCAGTTTTATGTTTTATCCTCTTTGTGAGTTATTTATGTGCCTTTATATCTGATAAGCAAAGGCTAATTTCGAATAAGTGAATAAAACCTGTAAATGGGAAGTATAGCTCCACAGAAGACTTGCAATGTTGCAACACGTGTTGATATTGAACAATGTCAGTCTTTCATAAGCTGCCAAGGCTTAACCAACGGCATAATGTCTTGTGAAGTTTCCGGGTGTGGAAAGGCTTGTGCCGCTTGCTTCTTGTGGAAGGAGGTGTGACAGCGGGAATATTGCGCCTTGCATGATTTTCTTATGTAGGTCCTAAATTTTGGTTATATGCCTGTGATGCACAAACCCTTCAAGTACATAACCAATTTTTTTTTATCTTTATTGCGTAACCCTGGCTTCTGTTCTAACGCATTATGTTCTTCCTTGCGCAGGAGGCCCACCGGTGATCAAGGAGCACCCGAGCAGCGTGGTGGCGCGGCGCAACGACCCCGCCACCCTCAACTGCGCCGCCTCCGGAGCCACCCGCATCCGCTGGTACCGCGACGGCGAGAAGGTGACGACGGCGGCGGAGGACCCGCGCTCCCACCGCGTCCTGCTGCCGTCGGGCTCGCTCTTCTTCCTGCGCGTGGCCACCTCCAAGAGGGACAGCGACGCCGGCACCTACTGGTGCGTGGCCTCCAACAGCCACGGCGCCACGCGCTCCCACAACGCCACCCTCACCGTGGCCACGCTCGCCTACGACTTCCAGAGCCAGGCCGACCCCGTGGTGAGGGCGCGCGTCGGGGACTCTGTCGTGCTGCCGTGCCGCCCGCCCAAGGGCTCTCCGCCCCCCGAGGTCACCTGGCTCAGGGACTCCCACGAGGTCACCAACTCCAGTCGGATCTCCGTGTCTCAGGCGGGCGATCTCGTCATCAGTCAGGCCGTCGAGGAGGACTCGGCCTCCTACGTGTGTCGCGCCCGCAACGCCGCGGGCGCCCGGGAGTCCACGCCCACCAAGCTCACCATCATGAGTAAGTGCCTTCCCGTTCCCTGAGATACGTTGAATACCTGTGAGCATATCCACTTGTCCCTAAAGCCTTCGTCCTCAGCCCTAACGGAGCTCTCTCCCCCGCAGCGCCGCCCTGGTTCGAGGAGCGTCCGGCGAACGTGACCGTCGCGTCGGGCGTGGTGGTGGAGCTGGCGTGCCGCGCCCGAGGCTCGCCCACGCCCACGGTCACCTGGCGGCGTCTCGACGGCAAGATGCCGCTCGGCCGCGCTATGATCGAGGACCAACGGCTGGTGCTGGACCACGTGGCGGCTGCTGACTCCGGCGTGTACGTGTGCGAGGTGGAGAGCGAGGCGGGGATCGCCGCGGCCCGGGCCACTCTCACCGTGATCGACGCCCCCGAGTTCGCTCAGCGGCCGCAGGACGTCCAGGTGGTGGCTGGCAGAGCGCCAGGCTCTCGTGCAAGGTCGAGGGCGACCCCAAGCCCCTCCTGCTGTGGCGCCTTCCCACCCAGGACAGGACAGCTCTGCTCGCCGCCGGCCAGAGCAGCGGCCACGCCTCCGTCGCCGACCAGGGCCAGACTCTCCTGCTCGGCGACGTCAGCACGCACGACAGCGGAGCCTACTACTGCTGGGGCGTCAGCAGCGGCGGCGGCGTCAGCGCCCGCTCGGAGGTGGTGGTCGTGGCGGCGTATCCCCCTCCTGTGATCGGCGTAGGACCCCAGGACCTCACGGTGTCCCCCGGGGGCGCTGCTACCTTCCCCTGCGAGGCCGTGAGTGAGGCCGCCTCGCCCTCCATCTCCTGGAAGTACCGCCCGGCCGCCCACCTCCCCACCCGAGAGCTCAGCGAGGGTGGCAACGGCGGCCGAGTGTCCCTCCCGGCCAACGGCGCCCTCATCCTGAAGGACGTCCGGGCCGACGACGCCGGCATCTACAGCTGCCACATCAGCGCGGACACCGGCAGCGTGGAGCAGGCGGCGGTCCTGCGGGTGGAGGACGGCGCCCAGGACGCGGGGCCGTTCCTGCTGCCGGCGCCGCCGTCCAAGCCGCGCCTCATGGCCGTCAACCAGACCGCTGTGCACCTGAGCTGGCTGCCCAACTCCCAGATGGGCGGAGGGTCCGACCAGACGTACACGGTGGAGTTCTGGCGCCAGGGCTGGGAGGAGTGGCGGGTGGCGGACGCCCTCATCTCGCAGGAGTCGTGCGTGGTGGGCGGGCTGACGCCTGGCCACACCTACACCTTCCTGGTCCGTGCCGTCGACTCGCGAGGGGCGTCGTTCCCGAGTCCCTGGTCCGACCCGGTCACGACCCGCTCTCCCCGCGACCCGAGTCTCACGGAGGACGAGGTCCGTCACGTCCGCCGCCGCCTCTCGCGCCCCGCCGTCACGCTCACCGACGCCACAGTCACCGCCCCCGACAGCGTCCTTCTCGGCTGGGAGTTCCTCGCGCTGGCGGACGAGGCCGTCGAGGGCGTGCTCGTCTACGCCGTCAGCGACTCGGGCGCCGTGCAGGTGGCCACCGTGCTCGGCACGTCGTCGTCCTCCCACCTCCTGCACGAACTTCATCCCAACTCCCACTACACCTTCTTCCTCGTCCCCTTCTGGCACAGCGTCGAGGGCACGCCATCCAACTCCATGTCGCTCAGAACTCCACAAGATGGTGAGTATTATTGTTTGTTTATTTTATTTTGTAATTACCCGGAAGTTAAAGTCATTCTATATAATTTTTCGTTTTCGGCGTTATCCATTTTCTAAACCCTTTCTTGTTTTATTCCATAGTTCCACTGGTTGCTCCTAAGGACGTGCGCGTGAAGACCCGCGAGGAAGGAACTGTCCTTATCACATGGTCGACTCTGACGCCCGAGGAGGCTCGAGGCGAAGTCGTTGGCTACCAGGTCTCCTTCAACTACAACGGCAGCCGCACCATAGAGACGGTGGCCAACCCCTGGCTCGAAGCCGATGGCTTGATGCCGGGTCGTCTCTACGCCGTCCGGGTCGCCGCTCTTACCGAGGTCGGACCTGGCCCCTTCACCTCGCCAGTGCTGATGGACACTGGGCTCTCGCACATTCACCCTCGTCGCCAAAACAACGATGACAGCTCACCCTCTGTATTATACTCACCGCCGCAGCCTGCCTGGCTGATTTACTTGCTGATACCTGCGGTGTTGCTGATGTCAATTGCCACTTTGTTCTATGTACGCCACCTGCGAGGAAAGTCCGCGGCCTCTAACCCATCTCACACTCCGTCCATATACCAGGATGCGTCCCTCTACTCTGCCCATCACTCTATCAACATGTACAGCGAACAGAAGCTGTGGCGACCTTCCGACTACGACAGAGAGATCAACGCGTCCTCCAAGAAACTACTGCATCCGGAATATGAATATGCAGAGCCCAGGATCCAGAAAATCCACGAAACGACAGAGCCTTACGCTACCACGGCTCTGTTGGCCTCCTCCTCGCAAGGCTCGGGATATCGGAGTCCTTGGATCCATCAGAGTGACGACTCCGGAGTGCAGGTGAATTGGACAGACTTCCTGCCTCCCCCGCCAGCCTGTCCTCCGCCGCGGGATTTTGACTTGGGTGACTTGTCGAGGGGAAGAAAGAGCTACCTCGAGAAGGGGTCTCCGCTGTCGACGTCAAAATACGATAACATGGACGAATCAGAGCAGTATGAGCGACCGTGTGACGTAGCGCCCACCCACTGCTACGCGGCTTACGGCCCGGTGTCGCATACTGGCAACTGTGGCAAATTCCCAACGTTCAACACACTCCAGGCGTTAGAATACCGGAGAGTTCGCACGGATTTCAGACCGCTGTATCAGGCAGATCCTCCTAGAAGCAACACGCATTAATATTCTTTCTTATTTAATAGAGCATTCTTTCTTCAGAAATTGCTTTGCTGATTTTGATTCTGATTAGCAAGAATGTTATTGATACCAAAGTTCACACATTTAGTACTTAAGATTTCTGCAATTTCGTAAAGAGTCGAGAAGTATTGACGAGATGGGGATGATCCATCTTACCAGTGACGGCTTCCTACTGTTGAAGGTAGAAAGTTTTGTTTCAAAATGGATATTAAAAGACTCTAATATATACTTCTGGTTCTTTTTAGGGTCATTCCATATAAATGATTCAATGCAGTTGTTAATAACATGGAAGAAAGTGGAACGGCCAACTATTAGGCGTAAAGAGCAATCTTGCGGTTGCCGTAAGATTACATTTTCACAAATTGTTATGCTAATAGCTATATGATGGATAGGACATGATAATAAGCGAAACAAAGGGCGTTTCTCACAATCACAGGATACCCCGCTTTTAACACGGAAAAGCAGGGTAGGGTTCATCTTTCCTGATACAGTGTTCTCACTGTAGCTATTGCTACATATATTGCATAACTGAAGTCTGCTGTTATATTTCCTAGATTTGTA